GTCCTGCCTTGAGCTCCCACGTGCAGTGTAGACCTGGGAGCCCTAAGGGATGTGTTCTGAGCCGAGCGATGCTATGAGTGCGTGCTGCTGTTGGCTAAACTGGAGAAACAGGAACGGATTTGAGGACATAGAGATGTTACATCCATTTATCTTCGTCCAGTTTGGATTCAAACCACGCTTATTTATGGACCATCCCTCCTGAGCTATTTTTAGCTTCAAACCTAAATGCCATTAAAAACTGGGCCCATTTGACTAAGTCTGACCCACTTAGGAGCAGGCTGAGATCAACCATGATTCTTGATATTTTGATTCGACCAGTCAATAATGAATCACTTTTTCCCTCTTAGAAGCTCGTGCCACTAACACATGGGAATACACAGACCCTTTGAAAAAGCGGCTGACCATACCCACCTTCCTGAAATAAGTTGTGGGAGCAGTTGCTCAATACTGATAGCTGCTGGCGCCGCGCTAATCCTCCACCTTGCGGCGCCGGTACACCGGGTTCTAGTCCCGCTCGGGGCGCCGGATTCTGTCCCGGTTGCCCCTCTTCCAGGCCAGCTCTCTGCTGTGGCCCGGGAGTGCAGTGGAGGATGGCCCAAGTCCTTGGGCCCTGCATCCCATGGGAGACCAGGAGAAGCACCTGGCTCCTGCCATCGGATCAGCGCGATGCGCCGGCTGCAGCGCGCCGGCCGCAGCGCGCCGGCCGTGGCGGCCATTGGAGGGTGAACCAACGGCAAAGGAAGACCTTTCTCTCTGTCTCTCTCTCTCACTGTCCACTCTGCCTGTCAAAAAAAAAAAAAAAAAAAAAAAAAGTGATAGCCGAGGGAAGTCTTTGGGGTTCCCTGATCAAATAGCACTGGAAAATGTGAGTTGTGTCAGGAAACCTACAGATCCAGGACCCTAGAAGAATAGACTTAATGTACATCGTTGAAGCTGTAGACATTTTAGGTCAGTTTTCTGGATCTTAGCCTAATTTACTTGTGCTGTAATACTAAACTCACGGTTAATCATTTCAACTATCACTGGTATCTGAAACTTCCTGGCTGTTAAGACACCATACTCTAGATTCTATGAACTTGTCTGAATTCCGGCCTGTCACCTTCTAACTAGACAAGGTACTTACTTGTAAGTCTGAGCTTTCTCATTCGTAAATAATGGGAGATAATTTTACAGAAGGAAGTTGTGAGAAATTAAGTAATGTGTGTCAGGTGCTTGATTCCTGGTGCCAGATAAGAGCTCAGTAAATGCCAATATTGCTATTAGCATTTCATTTATTTTGTAGGTAGACAAATCTTGCCTTAAGTAAAACATGATGCATGAAAACCTAGATTTGCTTAAATGGTTAATGGGGAAGATTATTTGCATTACAAAAGGATTCTCCAGTTTATGAATGAGCTGATAACAGTGTCTCTTTGAAATTTTTCCAGCATGTCTAAAATGATCTGATTCACACAAAGCTTGGTTTATACAACGTTTGAGGGACACAGCTAATGTGCCAAGCGTAAGACCTCTAGAAACAGTTGCTCAGGCTGGGTCTGAATCACTGTGACAAGTCATCAATAACAACCCCGGGTGTTCTCCCTGCCCCTTTTATACAGGGATTAGAAGGATTCTCTGTGGTTTCAAAGGGCAGATCTGGGACCAATGGGTGGAAGATACAGGTTGGAGACGGGAGGATGGGGGCAGACTTCAGCTTGGCGTAATGCGAAGCTGTACCGGACCAGCGCTGCCCAAGGCAGGGAGGAGTGGCTGGCTCTGAAGCGGCAAATTTCCCAGCATGAGACCGTCAAGTAGAAGCCAGACATGAACTTGTTACGGGCCTTGGAACGACTTCTGCATGAAATAGGGCCATGAAGTAGGTCAGTGTTTCCCAACCCTAAATACACCAAGCACACAACATAAACCAGATTGGCTTGGATACCAGGGGATAAAGGAAATGGATTAGAAAAATATTGCTTCTTTGGTTGGGAAATGCTGGATTACATGACCTCTAAGATTTCTCTTATTTTAAAGCTTCCGAAACTCTCAAATTATCTCATGGATGTTATTCTAACTCTGTTCCTGGGAGAACTTTCTTATTTTAATTGTAGAAAACTAGAACAAAACATCTAAAGCAAGTGGTAAAATGAGAAAAGAATTCACACATGCTGACCCTCTTAGACTTTTGGTCCTGTGGCTTCTTTTCAACTGGTGAGAATGAAAGTTGGGGAAGCAGAAGGTGAAAGTGGTCTCAAAGCCAGAACAGATGAGAATCGGCAGCGGAAACTCACGACCGCTCAGTTCGACGGGGGCCCCAGACGACCAAACGCCGTGTACAGCTGCAGTCCTGACCAGGTATGGGAGTGCTTCAAACAGTTCATGCAAGTGAAAGGTAAGTGCACTTTGGCGTACATAGTTTTGGAAATCCATGCATTTTTTTCCATAATCTACACATTTTGTGGATTTTTTGAAGACCCCTCCCACTTCAACGTAATATAATCATGAAAAGACTGAGCCACGACTGGCCGAACACGCCATTTTATCCCAGTTGGCCTGCTTGTCCTTTAAGAAAAGTTGATCATCTGGCCTTTGGGTCAATAGTTTTACTTGGCCATGTGTGACCGGACAACCTCGCTCGTTTCCACTCCCGGGACCTTTCGCCTGCAAAGGGTATTTCCCTTCCAGAGGACGTCAGCTGGCAGAACAAATCCAGTCCTACTTTGTATAAGTCTAATTACAGAGGACAGAACTGATTGGTGATACAGGTTTTATTGGTTATTTAGGCAGAAGATAAATTGGACACTAACAGGGAAGCAACGGAATCTCTGGGCTAGCTCAGCACCTGCTACTGGTAGATGAGAAATCAGAGACTGTGCAGCGTGACTCAGCCAGGAAAAACAGGCAGCTACTCAGAACCACAGGCAGTCATTCTGGGAGAGGGAGGAGACCCAGGGCACCAGAGTGAAGAAGAAAGTACGCCAGTTATTCCAACGTCCCGGGGAGAGACTCCTTCCTTTGCCCATAAGTCTTAGAAAGAGGAAGAGCAGATGCTGTAGTCCAAGGACTGGCAGAAAAGCCAGCACCACTCTGGCCCCTAGACCCTGCCTAACCCCACATCCCCTCGCGAGGACCTCCCTGTCTGACCCCTGATAGGAAGCACGGGGAGGTGAATGCTGAAGCTGCCCCAGATTCCGAGCTCCAGGTGGAGAGGGCCTCGGGAAGGTGACGGGAGAAGCTAATCTGAGCTTCATGGCCCCATTTCAAAGGATGTGATTAGTGGAGAGGCACCTGGGACCTGCTCCATTTCAGGAAACCCGGTTATGGGGACTGGTGGGGGACAGACTTTGCTCAGGACCCGAGAGAAGCAGTTAACTCTTTCCCATTGTCTGCAGAAAACAGCCTCTTTTAATAGTTGCTTGAAACGCCCCCCTGGCACGGAGTAGGGGAGAAAGTCCTCAAACGACCTCATTTCTGCATCAGTCTCATAGGGGGACCTCAGGGACATTTGCCACCTAAGTTCCTAGGGTCAGTCTCTGCAGGATGTTTGAATCCCCCAGGGGGCCTGAGAACAAGGTAGGGTCTAAGAGGTGCCTGGGTATGATGTACACAGGCTGTCACAGACGAATGTGAAGCAGTAATCCAAACCCCGCGGAGAGTGGAGACATGGAAGCAGAATCCATGTTACCCCAAGACCGGGGAGAACCGGATCCCCTAAGACACTGCACGTAACACCTTGAAGGTCAGGGCTGGAAGCGTCCAGAGCCAAATCCAGACGCTCCCTGCCTGACCTGGTTGGCTAAGGTGATCTGAAAAGACCTTCTGCAGGTCTTCGTTTTCTTTGGGCCTCAGATTTCATCTGTTGAAGATAACTGATCACCTCTGCAGCCCCTTTCTGGCTCTAATATTCTATTGCTCTGAGGACAGAATCTTACTAAAACAGTTGAGTCTAACAGCATAGTGGTTATTAAACCCCAAACAGGGTGGATGCCCACACCGATGGAGAAGGGGCTGAGAGCTCTGATCCAGTCAAGCCTGAGTTTGTGGGAGACGAGGATATCTGCATTCATTGGCTCCTTAGCTTTCGCACAGAGGGGCTGGCGTCTCCCAGTAATGCTTGAAGTTCCATACGACAGCCAGCACCGCGGCTCACTAGGCTAATCCTCCACCTGCGGCGCCGGCACCCCGGGTTCTAGTCCCGGTTGGGGCGCCGGATTCTGTCCCGGTTGCTCCTCTTCCAGGCCAGCTCTCTGCTGTGGCCCGGGAGTGCAGTGGAGGATGGCCCAGGTCCATGGGCCCTGCACCCGCATGGGAGACCATGAGGAAGCACCTGGCTCCTGGCTTCGGATCGACGCAATGCGCTGGCCATAGTGGCCACTTTGGGGGTAAACCAACGGAAAGAAGACCTTTCTCTCTGTCTCTCTCTCACTGTCTAACTCTGCCTGTCAAAAAAAAAAAAAAAAAAAAAAGTTCCACACGACAGAACTCCCAAGTAGCGAGGCAGGTCCCAGCCAGGTGGCAGAGGCACTGGGTAGCTGTGGGAAGGTGGCCAGAGGGGTAAAGGTAGACCTTTGTTTCAGATTCTGGCTCCGACATTTGCAAACTTAGTGGCATACAACCTCTTCTTAGAACCTCATTTCCACCGTTTATAAAACGAGGGTAACAACACCTCTCGTACAGGGGAGGACTACGTTAGATAAACAAGAAAAAGCGAAGCATGCTTAGCAGAGTCAGCACTCACCAAACGTCAAGTCTGCTGTTGTGGTACAGAGGGTTAAGCCGCCATCTGTGATGCCAGCATCCCATGTGAGGGCAGCTCAAGTCCTGGCTGCTCCACTTCCAATCTGGCACCCTGCTAATGTGCCTGGGAAAGCAGCAGAAGATGGCCTGAGTGCTCGGGTTCCTGCCACCCACGTGGGACACCTGGATGCCCTGCTGTTGCAACAATCCGGGGAGCGAGCCAGCAGATGGAAGATCTCTCTCTCTCTCTCTCTCATACATAAAATAAATCTTAAAAACAGAAGTGTGAGTGACTGCATTTTATAACATGAAGTCTTCATGTGAGACTCTCACGTCAAAGGCTTCCTTCTTCATGGCTGCCGACATTGGGTTGCACGGCGGCTGTGTCCCCAGCTATGTTTGTTAGGTCTCACGGGCCTCTAGCATGGTGCTGGGTGTTTCCATGTAGCATCATCCCCACGGCTCATTCTAAGGCCAAGGCCAAGGCCCCTCACCTGAAGTATTTTTGTCCATAGCCACTATCCCTCCGCCTCCCACTCCCAAGGCAGCCTCTTCTGCTGAGCCAGCACTCTCCGTGGGAAACAGTTCAAAGGGTCATCCTCGGTACCTTGGTTTCTCAGCCATCAAAGCAGTGAAGGCAGCAATGGTCTTACAAGGTACTTGTGAGAGTGAACAATTCATGTAAAGGGCCAGGGGCGTCCCAAGCAAGCAGTCCTTCAGTAATGACAGTTTATGTCCGCCTGGTAACTCCACTTCCTAAAAGGGACACCGGAGAGAGAGGAGAGAGAGGAAGACGTCTGTGAGCCCCCACAGGCCAACTCCCTTACCAAGTCGGAGGGTTTCCATGAATTTTCCAGAAATGAAAGCTACCTTTCTGCAACTGGTCTACCTGTGAGCAGGGCAGCAGGGCAGAGCGCAGCCTCGTTCCAGCCATGACTCAGATCTCAGTAGACAGTGCTTAGGAGCGGCACCAGGGTTGTACGCTGAGCAGGCACTCCGCCAGCTCCCCAGTCGGTCCTGTCCGACCCTGGCTTCTTGAAGTGGAAGAATTTTCCCTGAAGGAAAGCAGCCGACACCCGGTCCCGCCCTTCTCCTTGGGCAGCTCTCTGCCAGGTAGGACTCTCCCAGCCGGGTTTTCTTGTGACTGCCAGGTCACCAGCAGTTATGGGCTTAAGCCCCTTCCGCCAGGCTCCGCCCCAAACCTGGAGCCTGCAGAATTACCTTCGTCCCAGCTGGGAACGCTCTTGGAAAACCCGAGTTTAGAAAAGCCAGCTCCTGCCTTGGAACAATCAGGGCAGAGCCAAACGTGGGGAGGCTGCGCACTTCCCTCTGGGGTGGGAGTGGGAGGGAGGACAGGCTGGGACGGCTGGATTAGGCTGGGGAGAGGCTTGGGACCGGTTGCCTGGTAAAATTCATGGTGTCTAGTTTTGAATTTCAGATTAACGAATACTTTTTAAAGTATATGTTCCAAATATTGCATGAGATGTATACTTAAAAAAACTCATTTGAAATTCAACTGTAGCTGGCAGCCCTGTATTTTTCTTTGCTAAATCTGGGAACCAGCGCTCGGAGTCCCCCGCAGGTGAGGACGGCCAGGGATCAAACCCAGTAGCCTCTCCGGGCCGGGAGAAGGGGCCTCGACAGCGCCCAGGGCTATCGGAGCGCTCCGAAAAGCGCTAAAGGCCTCGTTTCGCCGAGACCGTGGGAAAGTGTCTCCGGCAGGAGGGCGGAGTCGCGTCCTGGCCCCGTTCCGGCTCGCCTCCAGCCGTGGCCGCCGCCCACCGGCCGTCCCCAGCCCGCCCGTCCGCCCACGGGAGGCGGCCGCAGCCGGCGGCTCCGGGCCGCGGGGCGGGGCGGGGCGGGCCGTGTGCGCAGGCGCGGCAGGTCGGTGGGCGGGGCGTGGGCGGGCGGGAAGGAGCGGGCTCGCGCGGCCCGGCGTGGGCGCCGTCTGCGGTCGACGCTCAGGCGGAGGAGGAGGGCGCCGCCGCCGCCTGGCCTCTGCCGCGTGGGCGTCGCGCGGCTTCCCGCTCGCGATGGAGGGAGCGGCTGTGGCCGTCTGCGAGGTGATGCCGCGAAGTAGGGGCAGAGGCGTTGCCTGAGGTGGCAGAGGCAGGGTCGGGAATGCGTGTGGGGGGCCGCGGAGGCCGAGGCTAGGAAACGCGGGGCGTCCCTCGCTGAGGAGATCGGCGCCACGTGAAGAGGCCGCGCACCCCAGGTTCTGGCTGCGGGCGGCACAGGCGGCCTCGGGGCCGGGCGCCTGGCTTGCTCCCCTGGAGTTTTCCACACACCCCATGGCGGGAGAGGAAGAGGAGAGAAAACGGGCAACTCGGGGCGGGGCGGGAACCGGGGAAGCAGCCCGGGAGCGCCCGGTGAGTGCCCACGGGCGCCCGGGGAGCGGCCCTGGGGTCCCGGCCAGCCAGGGGGCGGGGCGGGGCGGTGGGCGGGGCGCGCTCTCGCCACTCCTGCGGTGAGCACCTGCTCCCGCCCTCTCCGCCACGTGCGCCTGCTCCGCCGCCTAATGGACGCTTACCTGCGGGCCCTGGTGGGGGGGTTGCAGGGCAGGTAAAACAGGGGCTCTGAGAGGGGTCCAGCCCCCTGCCTTCTTTGCCGTCACCACCGGAAGCTGGAAGGTTTGAATTTACGGCTGACAGAAACGGATGGCGCTGAAAACGCTGACTCACGGGCCGCTGTTCCTTTCCCAGCTGTTGTATTATGGATAAAGACATATGGGACAATCTTAGCAGAGGCTGCGCAGAAGTCGGGGGGTGCGAGGCTGCACAGGTGCCCATGAACCCTCCGGATAAGCTCGGGTACACGGGTGCGGATCGTAGTTACCAAGTTCTCTTACCCGGATCTCCTTCCCTTTAAAAAAAAAGGGGGGGGGGATAATAATTTTCCTTGTGGCATACTGGGTGGAAGTGAGAGTCTGCTTTCACAAATAGTGGTGGAAATTAAATAGAATATATTTTATTTTGGATTTGCCTCATCAAGATTGAATGTTTTGGGGGCTGGTGCTGTGGCTTAGCGGTTTAAAGCCCTGGCATAGAGCGCCGGCATCCCATACGGGTGCCGGTTTGAGACCCGGCTGCTTCACTTCCGATCCAGCTCTCTGCTACGGCCTGGGAAAGCAGTAGAAGATGGCCCAAGTCCTTGGGCCCCTGCACCTGCGTGGGAGACCTGGAAGAAGCTCCTGGCTCCTGGCTCTGGATGGGCGCAGCTCCGGCCGTTGCGGCCATCTGGGGAGTGAACCAGCGGATGGAAGACCTCTCTCTCTGCCTCTACCTTTCTCTAACTCTTTCAAATAAATAAAAAATTAAAATAAAATTAAAAATTGAATGTTTTATTCAGACATCTTGTAGTCCTGTTCGACCTAAACTAGTGTGCACAGATGAACTTACTAGAAATATTATGAGGCATTTACTATATGCCAGGCATTGTGTGAAGCATTTTGCACATATTACTTACTTTTGGAATCAGCCGTATGTGGTAAGTTTGTCTCCATTTATATAGAGAAACCTAAAGTAGAGAGGCTAAGTAGTTTGCCCAAGGTCACATGCTAGAATTTGGCACATCAAGGATTCAAGTCCAGACATTTGCCTCTTCTACTCTTAAGTAATATCTTTTTTTAATATTTATTTGAGAGGTAGCAAAGAGGACATTGAGAGGTAGCAAAGAGGAATGCTCCCAGTGTGGCTGAGCTGGGACTGAAGCAGGGAACTCAATCCAGACACCCATGTAGGTGACAGGAACCATCATCACTGTTTTCTAGGGTCTGCATTAGCAGGAACTGAAGCCTGAAGTTGAACCCAGGCACTTAGATTTGGGATGCAGGTATCCCAACTGGTGTCTTAACCATTAGGTTAAATGCCTTCCTCTTAAATAGTATTCTGACCCTTAAAAATGTTGATTTAATGAAAGGTAAAGATGATTCATGACCAAATGTCATTCTTATTCGTAGTCTTCATGTTGGCTTGAATTTGGAGGAAAAAAAGGAAATAAGAAAAACAAACTCCCACTTAATTTTTCCCTAATGAATGTTTGCGGATGAACTTGTCTTCTAAATAAAGCAATTTATTGTCTCAATTGCCTGTCTTGCTGGACATTATGTTGAATTTCACCGTCTCATCCCTTAGGTCACTCTACTAGCTATTTCTTCTGTTTAGTCATAGTGCTTAGCTCTGAACAAATGTAAATCTGACATTTTAGAAACAGGAATACAATTTTTTGGGGGAAATAAGGGTTATTTAACTGTATTATGCAAATTTATTGTTACCATGATTTCTAAAGAAGATTATGTTTTCTTTGAATTGTGCTCTTTTCAGATTTTGAAATATTTAATAATTCACTGGACGTGTGAAGCAGGAGTTTCAAAGGGAACATTGCTAGAAGGGCAGCTAATGATTTCCATAGAAACATTAAATTCCAAGCCCCAGGCAAACACTCTTCGCTGTGTAACAACTAGTAAGTAGAAGAAGAAAGATGATTGATTTTTAATCTTTACTTTGTCATAATTTATGTTGTAGTATATTTAAAAATTTAAATGAGTTGTATTCTTTAATCATGCAACCAAACAACCCAGATGATTATGTAATAAGTATCTGGTGATAGATATACAAATGCGTCATTTAGACAAGGTGAGTAGAATGACTTATCCCAAGATTATTTACTAGTTTAAAATTGCTAAGGGCCGGCGCCGTGGCTCACTAGGCTAATCCTCCACCTTGTGGCGCCGGCACACCGGGTTCTAGTCCCGGTCGGGGCACCGCATTCTGTCCCAGTTGCCCCTCTTCCAGGCCAGCTCTCTGCTGTGGCCAGGGAGTGCAGTGGAGGATGGCCTTGGGCCCCGCACCCGCATGGGAGACCAGAAGCACCTGGCTCATGGCTTCGGATCAGCGCGGTGCGCCGGCAGCAGTGCGCCGGCCGCGGTGGCCATTGGAGGGTGAACCAACGGCAAAAAGGAAGACCTTTCTCTCTCTCTCTCTCTCTCACTGTCCACTCTGCCTGTTAAAAATAAAAAAAAAAAATTGCTAAGGAACAATCTCACTTTTGCTGGTTTTTTTTTTTTTTTTTCAAGATTTATTTATCTATTTGAAAGGCAGTTACGGAGAGGCAGAGAGAGAGAGGTCTTCCATCCTCTGGTTCACTCCCCAAATGGCTACAACAGCTGAAGCCAGGAGCCAGGACTTTCTCCAGGTCTCCCATGAGGGTGCAGGGGCCCAGGCACTTGGACCATCTTCTGCTGCTTTCTCAGGTCATAGCAGTGAGCTGGATCAGAAGAGGAGCAGCCAGGTCTCGAACCCATGCCCATCTGGGATGCTGGCACTGCAGGTGGTGGCTTTACCTGCTAGGCTACAGCGCTGGTCCTATGCTGTTGGTTTTAAACCACTTTTTCACAGTAAAATTTATATTACATTGAGTTTTTTTTTTTTAAAGGTTTATTTATTTAAGGCAGTTACAGAGAAGCAGATGCAGAGAGATAGAGAGAGGTTTTCCATCTGCTAGTTCACTCCCCAAATGTCCGCAACAGCTGGAGCTGTGCCGATCTGGAGCCAGGAGCCCCCTCCCGGTCTCCACGGGGGTGCAGGGGCCCAAGGACCTGGGCCATCCTCCACTGCTTTCCCAGGCCATAGCAGAGAGCTGGATCGCAAGTGGAGTAGCTGGGACTCAAAACAGCGCCCACATGGGATGTGGCTTTACCTGCTATGCCATATTGATGGCCCCACATTGAGTTTTATGTACATTTTCTTTCATGTCTAGACTTTGGCAATTGCAAAAGAACTTGAAAAATAAAAGGGAAAATTCTGAATGGTTCATACTCTGATAATCCTGACCTGCAGTTAGTTTGAAAATCTCTCTTCTGCGTGGCTCTCATTCTTTCACTCCTTTGCCTCTTCTCTTGAGGGAAAGCTGATGCCTTGAATAGTTCTAAAATAACTAATTTTCTTGAGCTTATACAGTACTAGCTTTTTTGTTTATGTGTGTGTGTGTACATGTGTGAGTAGGTTTTTTTTGAAGGATCCTTTGAAGTGAAGGTTGTCCCTCCAGACTAAGAGGGACCCAGATGAGATCAGATAGTACACAAGACATTTGCTTACCTGAACTAGAAATGACCTCTTTTCTCTTTGTGCATTTAGTATTAAACATCCTCAAGAGAATGCTATTACTTTGCGTGAACTCTACTCTGACTAGGCAGAGTTCCCACCATTTATGAGAGATGCTTAGCTATGTGGCTAGAATGATGACTGTTCTGTGTATGGCTGAATTAGCTTGTGCATTGATTCTGGTCTAGTAAACTATGGCTAAGGTAATAGGGTTGATTTTACTCAAAGCAAAGCACTTGAGCCAAAACAGCTTTTGGCAAAAAATTCGATCTCACGGGCATTTTGAGTCTTGGTCAGCATTAGGGAGCACTTCTTTTTATTGTCTCTGATCTTTATGTAATTAGAATTTTTTGACAGGAATAAAGATGATTCATTCTTGACTTAAAATATACAGAAACTGGGGCTGGTGTAGTGGGTAAAGCCACCGCCTGCAGTGCCGACATCCCATATGGGCACCAGTTCGAGTCCCAGCTGCTCCTCTTTCAATCGAGCTCTCTGCTATGGCCTGGGAAGGCAGTAGAAGATGGCCAAAGTCCTTGGGCCTCTGTACCACATGGGAGACCCGGAAGAGGCTCCTGGCTTCGGATTGGCACACCTCCCGTGGTTATGGAGCTGAAGCAGTGGATGGAAGACCTCTCTCTCTCTCTCTCTCTCTCTCTCTCTCTCTCTCTCTCTGCCTCTCCTCTTTCTGTGTAACTCTGACTTTCAAGCAAATAAATAAATCTTTTAAAAAAACACAGAAACATGAAGAGTGAGACTTTCTAGTTATTCTTCTAGATTTTATGCATATATTCATAGTTACACTGATTTTATATGATAGAATTGTACTATACATATAACTATTCCACATATTTAAATATAAATTTATTTATTTGAAAGAGTGACAGAGAGGCTGGGACGAGAGATTGTGAGGAGAGAGAGAAAGAGAGATGCTCTGCTCGTTCACTCCCCAGATGTCTGCAACAGCCAAGACTGTGCCAGGCTGCAGTCAGGAGCCAGGAACTCCATCCAGGTCTCCCAAGTGGGTGTCAGGTACTCGAGTATTTGATCCATCAGCTGCTGCTTCCCAGGCACATTAACAGGCACCTGTATTGGAAGTGGAATAGCTGGGACTTGAACTGGTACTATTATGGGATGTGGGCATCCCAAGCAGCAGCTTAACCTGCTGTGGCACACCACCAGTCACATCCATATGTTTTTAGTAACAATATTTTAGAGGTAACATTCTATGTTAGAATATAGAGATATGCTTTATTTTTACCTTTTTAGAAAAAGTATACACATTGATTTAGTTTGTGTTAAAGGTACACATGTACATGATTATAAGAGAACGTAGTTCAGTGGCACTTGTTTGAAAAAACCTATAGGTCTCTGTATGCTTCCTCTTTCCAACTTGTTCTCTCCTAGGGGCTAATACTTTTTTTTTTTTTTAAAGATTTATTTATTTGAAAGGTAGAGTTACAGAGGTAGAACTTCCTCCGAGTCTCCCACACAGATGCAGGGGCCCAAGGACTTGGGCCATCTAGAGCTGGACTGGAAGTGGGGCAACCAGGACCTGAATCAGCGCCCAAATGGGATGCCGGTACTACTATGAAATAACGCCAGCCCCCAGTGGAGCACTTTGGATGCCAGGAGCAACCCCAACAGTGTCACCGGCCCTCCCCACCCCTCTCAGAGGCCAGAGTTTAAAGTTTTGGAAAACAGGCACAAGGATCTCCCCAGATCTTGGACTGAGTGTTTCCACTGCTTAGAGAAACAGGGGCAGAAGGCAGCTCACCCTCTCCTCTGGTCGCACTGTACTGCCCCAGGGAGCTTGAAGCTGGGCAGGTGGAGGCTCCCTGGACCACCTTTGAACCTCACTGAGGTCCAACATGGTGTCCCGGCCAGAGGCAGAACCCAGCTCCCTGCTGACCTTTCTCCCAGGCCTACCCTCTACACCACAATGCCAGCCCCAGCAATTACTATTTTTGAAAAAAAATTTTTAAAGATTTATTTTATTTGTTTGAAAGACAGAGTTACAGAGAAAAGTAGAGACAGAGAGAGAGGTCTTCCATCTGCTGGTTCACTCCCCAGATGGCCATAATGGCCGGAGCTGCACCGATCTGAAGCCAGGAGCTTCTTCCGGGTCTCCCACATGGGTGCAGGGGCCCAAGGACTTGGGCCATGTTCTGCTGCTTTCCCAGGCCACCAGCAGAGAGCTGGATGGGAAGAGGAGCAGCTGGGACTAGAACTGGCGCCCATATGGGATGCCAATGCTTCAAATCAGGGCTTTAATCCGCTGCACCACAGTGCCGGCCCCACTATTTTTTTTTTTTTTTTTTTTTTGACAGGCAGAGTTAGAGACAGAGAGAAAGGTCTTCCTTCCGTTGGTTCACTCCCCAAATGGCCGCTTCGGATGGTGCACCTGATCCGAAGCCAGGAGCCAGGTGCTTCCTCCTGGTCTCCCATGCGGGTGCAGGGCCCAAGCACTTGGGCCATCCTCCACTGCACTCCCGGGCCACAGCAGAGAGCTGGACTCAAATAAGAGCATCCGGAACTAGAACCTGGCGCACATATGGGATGCCAGTGCTGCAGGCGGAGGATTAACCAAGTGAGCCATGGCGCCGGCCCTCACAATTTTTTTAAAATATTTATTTATTTGAAAGGCAGAGAGAGAAAGATGTAGCTAGATATCTTCTATCTGATGGTTCACTCCCCAAGTGACTGCAGTGATCACAGCTGGGCCAGGCCAGACCCAGGAGCCTGAACTCCATCTGGGTCTCCCACGTGGGTGCAGGGATCCAGCACTTGGGTCATCCTCTGCTGCTTTCCCAGGCACATTAGCTTGTAGCTGTATCAGAAAGAGAGCAGCTGAGAGTTGAACTTGGTGGTCGTATGGGCTGCCAGCACCCGAGGTGGAAGCTTAACTCACTGTGCCACAGCACCAGCCCCCTCACCTCTAATCCTGACTTGATAACTGTCGCTCCCCCTCTTCGTGGAGGAACGACACTAAGCCCTGCCTAGGCTTCCTATCTGAGTCACGGCACCATTATGTCGCTCCCCCTCTTCGTGGAGGAACGACACAGAACCCTGCCTAGGCTTCATATCCGAGTCACAGCACCATTATGTCGCTCCCCGTCTTCGTGGAGGAACGACACAGGACCCTGCGCTGTTCTTTCGTCTGCTCGGCCTTCCCCGGGTTTGCTGCTGGTTCTTCCCGGGTTGGCTACCGTCCCTTCCACCTCCGTGGAAGGGCGGTTCCCCCTGCCACATTCCCCACTTCCGCAGGGGAGCGGCACACCGCCGGCCGGCTCTCTCGGGGGCTGCACAGGTGTTCCCTCAGATGTTCCCCCTAGATGTTCCTGGTGCATGTTGTCTCTCTCCTCCTTTATAGTCCTCTTCCACCAATCCCAACTCTGCTACCCACACCCCGAGTACGCTGCTCTCCTCCAATCAGGAGCAAGATCAGCTCCTGCAGCTCAGTCAATCAAATTGGCGAGAGGCAGCTGCGTAGAAGCTGTTTCTCCCTTCTCAGCATCATATTGTGGGAGAGCAGATGCATAGAATAAGTCTTAATTCCAGTAACTTAGTCTAGTCCGAGTTGCTCCCAGTTGCTCCCCACAGATAACCTTCCATTTCTGGTACCCAGCTGTGGTCTCGAGCTCCCCCATCGTTCCTCAGAGTAGTTCTTTGATTTTTTTACTGTGTTGATTTTGTGTTTCTCAAATCCTAGTATCTTGTTTTTCCTGGACTGACTTCTGGTTTTGGTGGCTCACGGGTTCCCCTTAGCTTCCTGAAAAAGAGTGAGAGGTAAATTTCTTTGGGACCTTGCATCTCTAAAAATATCTACACTCATACCTGATTGATAGTTTGGCTGAATGTAAGAGTCTAGGCAGGAATTCATTTTCCTTCAGAATTATGATGACACTGTAACATTGTCTTTTTTTAAATAAAAAAATTTATTGATTTGAAAGAGTTACATAGAGAGAAGGAAAGGCAGAGAGAGAAAGAGAGAGAGAGGTCTTCCATCTACTGGTTCACTCCCCAGATGGCCACAATGGCCAGAACAGCACCAATCTGAAGCCAGGAGCCAGGAGCTTCTTCTGGGTCTCCCGTGTGGGTGCAGGGGCGCAAGGACCTGGGCCATCCTCTACTGGTCTCCCAGGCCACAGCAGAGAGTTGGATCGTAAGTGGAGCAGCCGGACTCTAACCGGTGCCCATGTGGGATGCCAGCACTGCAGGCGGTGGCTTTACCTGCTATGCCATAGCACCAGCCCCAACATTATCTTCTAACTTCAGGTGTTGCTGCTGAAAATTCAAAAGCCTTTCTGATTCTTACATGTGTGACTTCTTCTTCTTTTTTCTTTTCCTCTTTGTAAGCTTACAGGATCTGCTGTTTATCCTTGTATTAATTGCAGTAAATAATGCATGCATGCAGTTCTTTGGTGCTTATGTTTTTATTAAACTCAATAGTAAGGTCACCTTTTTAATATTCTGTAACTGTTAGCAGTGTTTTCAGACTCCTATTTGATTTTTAGAATAGAATCTGTCGCTCCCCCTCTTCGTGGAGGAACGACACAGGACCCTGCGCTGTTCTTTCTGTCTGCTCGGCCCTCCCCGGGTTTGCTGCTGGTTCTTCCCGGGTTGGCTACTATCCCTTCCACCTCCGTGGAAGGGCAGTTTCCCCTGGCCGCATTCCCCACTTCCGCAGGGGAGCGGCACACCGCCGGCCGGCTCGTCTCGGGGGCTGCACAGGTGTTCCTTCAGCTAGATGTTCCCCATAGATGTTCCTGGTGCATGCCGTCTCTCTCCTCCTTTATAGTCCTCCTCCGCCAATCCCAACTCGGCTGCCCACACGCCGAGTACGCTGCTCTCCAATCAGGAGCAAGTCCTACAGTTTATTGGTTGAACTGGAGGCAGCTGGGTAGAAGCTGTTTTCTCCTCTCCCAGCGCCATATTGTAGGAGAGCAGATGCATAGAATAAGTCTTAATTCCAGTAACTTAGTCTAGTCCGAGCTGCTCCCCACAGATCCCCCTTTCTTTTTATTTTTTTGGCGTTGATACGCGCCTGTCTTCGGTGTCCCACAGCACACACTCTGCTCTACTTGCTAGAGTTGCCACAGGTGCTTACAAGTCCTATCAATGAGGCAAACCGAATCCGGGTCCTCTCTTCGCCATGTTGTGAGGAGGTTTTTAGGCGCTGATGCGTGCCTGTGTTCGGTGCCCTGCAGCGCATGCTCTGCTCTGCCCGCAGGGGCTTACAAAACCTATCAGGCAAACCGAATCCAAGCCTTCTCATTGCCGTATTGTGGGGGAGACTTATTAGTGTTGGTTTGTGCCTATCTTCGGTGACCTGCAGCTCATGCTTTGGTCGAGCTGCTTGCTGGTGCTTACCGCCTTAAATCAGGCAGACCGAATCCAAGCCTCCTAATTGTTGCATTGTGGGGAAGCCTTACTGATGTTAATTCGTGCCTGTCTTCGGTGACCTGCGGCGCATAAGCTGCTAGCCGCCCAGGTGCTCATCGCCTCACTTAATCAGGCAGACCGAATCCAAACTTTCTCGTTGCCATGTTGAGGGGAGGCCTTTTTATTTCTCTATTTCTCTATCTCCGGGCATTCCTATTTCTCCCATTTTACTTCTGTCTGCCAACATTCCCATTTCTCTCACTCCACTTCCAAACTTCTGTTTCTCTTATCCCCGCAGCTTCCCGCTGCCCGCCCCGAGGCTACTTCTCGGCGGCTTCCCAGCTGAGCTGCTTCAGCCCACGCCTCTTTCATCTGCGCAGCTTCCCGGCTTTGCGCGGCTTGGCTTCGCGCGCTCCGCGGTCTCCACGCCCTTCGCGTCTGCACCACGGCCTATGCCAGCCCCGTTCCCTATCTACTCACGCCCCGTGCTCTCTCTGCACACGGCGGCTTCCGCGAGTAACACAGCGTAGCTTGCGTCTCCACCACTAGCATTCAATCCAAGTTCCCCGGGCTAGCCTGGCGAATTCAACCCAGCGTACGTCTCCGCCCCACGATTTGGCTTCCCGTCCTTTGCTCCCCGGGCTAATCAGACGGATCCCAATCTGGCTTACGTCTCAGCTTCTGGTTTCAACTTTTCGCCCCCTATTCCCGGGCTAACTTGAGAACCCCAAAGTGGCTTTCGTCTCCGCCTTGGCCTGCACTCGCGGCTTCATCCTCCCTAACATTTTTCTCTACCCGGTATGTTTCCTTAAGTTTTCTTCCAACAATATTCCTCTCATTTCTCCTGGCTTCTCCCCACAGTCCGTATCCAAGTCTAAGTTTCTTATAGGTTTCACTTTCACTTTCAACCTGCAGTCCGTATCTAAGTCTAAGTTTCTTCTTGCTTTCACTTTAAATCCTAACTTCTTTCCCACAGTCCATATCCGAGTCCAAGCCTCCTCCAGGTTTCACTTTCGCTTTCAATCTTCTAGCTTCCCCGCCATAGTCCGCATCCGAGTCTATGAAAGCTTTCACTTTCGCTTTCAATCCTAACTTCTTTCCCACAGTCCATATCCGAGTCTATGCCTAGGCTTTCAATAGCTTCTTCCGGCACCTAGGCTCTTTGCTAGTCTCTCTCTCCGGCATTTTCCCAGTTCTTCCCGTTTCTTCCCTCCTAAGTTTCCTATCCGTCCTAGGTTTCCTATCCGAGCTAGGTTTCCTATCCGTCCTGCGTTTCCTATCCGAGTCACGGCACCAGTATGTCGCTCCCCCTCTTCGTGGAGGAACGACACAGGACCCTGCGCTGTTCTTTCTGTCTGCTCGGCCCTCCCCGGGTTTGCTGCTGGTTCTTCCCGGGTTGGCTACTATCCCTTCCACCTCCGTGGAAGGGCAGTTTCCCCTGGCCGCATTCCCCACTTCCGCAGGGGAGCGGCACACCGCCGGCCGGCTCGTCTCGGGGGCTGCACAGGTGTTCCTTCAGCTAGATGTTCCCCATAGATGTTCCTGGTGCATGCCGTCTCTCTCCTCCTTTATAGTCCTCCTCCGCCAATCCCAACTCGGCTGCCCACACGCCGAGTACGCTGCTCTCCAATCAGGAGCAAGTCCTACAGTTTATTGGTTGAACTGGAGGCAGCTGGGTAGAAGCTGTTTTCTCCTCTCCCAGCGCCATATTGTAGGAGAGCAGATGCATAGAATAAGTCTTAATTCCAGTAACTTAGTCTAGTCCGAGCTGCTCCCCACAGAATCCATTTAATTTTCTTATTTGTGATATTTCTTTGTATTCTGTTTCTTGCAGTTGCTCCTGCAGGGTGCCTTTATAGTGGCTTCATCCTCAAGAAATTCATAAAAGGTAAAGAATTACCGAAAAGACTGACTCTCTTTGGCAAGGAATTTAGTATTTTCTAAAACAGACTTATACTGAAAGATAAGGTTACCAACTTAAGTTTATACTTTGGATATTTCTTGTTTGTTTGTTTGTCTATTTTATCTGGCAACCCTACTGAAAGATGATCTACAGAACTGTAGTTACAGAAATGGACAAGATACCTAGGTCACTGTGGCTTCTCTGAATACTTTCTATACAGCTTCAGACACAAGTTTCAGACAAAATTTCCCATGTGTAAAATACAAATTTTAGTAAGCCGTTTTTCCTATTACTTCAAAGAATGTATGGAGAATGCTTTTCCTGTAAGTGATTTGACTAGTGTTAATACTGTTTCCCATATTATATGCCAGTGTTGGTTTAGTTTAAAAGTTTTTGGTGTCCTTAATGACAAGCATTTCTTCTTCTCTTTGACTTAAGAATAATAAGCCAACGGGCAAAACGTTTATTTTAATGAGACCAAAGTGATCTGAGAGCTGCTGTGCTTTCGGTTCTATGTTCTGTGGTTGTTTGGTCAGATTATCAAGCGGGCCTGTCTTTTTTTCTGTTGCGTTGTTAATTTACGTAAAATTTTAAAATGATTTATTTATTTTATTTGAAAGGCAGCGAGAGAGACAGAGAGATCTTTCACCTGTTGGTTCGCTCCCCAAATGTCCACAACAGTTGGGCTGAGCCAGGCTGACGCCAAGAGCCAGGAACTTCATCCAGGTCTCCCACGTGCTGCCTTCCTTGCGCGTTAGCAGGAAGCTGGATTGGAAGTGAAGATGGGATTTGATCCCAGGTGCTTCACAATGGGATGTGGGCACCCAAGTGGGAGCCTAACCTGCGTTCAGCCACTGCCTGCAACGACACAGGCACCCGCATTAGCACCAGTGCTGCTCTGCTTCTGACCAGCACCTTGCAATGCGCATGGGAAAGCTGCGGAAGACAGCCTGAGTACTTGGGCCTCCCACCTACGTGGGAACCCCGAATGGAGTTCTAGGTTCCTGGCTTCTGCCTGGCCCGGCCCTGTCTGTGTGGCCATTTGAAGAGTGTACCAGCGGATGGAAGTTTTCTCTGTAACTCTTTCAAATAAACAAAATAAATCTTACAAAAAAAGAAAACTCCACAAAAAACAACACCTACCCCTACAAAATAAATTTATAAAAGAAACTTCCCAACTAGATATGGAATATAAGTAGATTTTTTAAAAGACTCTTGCATTTGTCTTTCTCTAGAAAAATAATGTGATAGATATAAAATGTAAACACCCAGAAAGCCACGTTAGAAAGGTACAATGTTATAAAATAAATGTTTATGAGGTTTTTACTTTTGGTTATTTGTAAATAGCAAATTTTCTTAGTACTTTGAAAAATGCAAATCAATTAAAAATTTATAGCCAGATTACCAGCAACCCACTTATTACATAAATCAAAGTATTTTTCTTTATCTTGGTCATATCATAAAAAAAGAAGAAACTGTTTTTGCATTTCAGTTAAAACATGGATACTCTAAAGACACGAATATGTAGGAAACAATTCTACCTTTTGAAACTTCTTTTCTGAAGTAATTTCTCCCCACGTGTGGAGGCTTTAGCATGCTTACTAAATGAAGAATCATAACTGTATTCCTCTGTCTTTGCAGTACTTGGTCCTCTGTATCTACTTTCCGTCTGTCTATTGTTGCATTTTTAGTAGAGCTCAACTTTTGCCATGTGCTCTTTTTAAGATTAATTTATTTATTTGGAAGTCAGAGTCACAGACAGATAGAGGGAAGGACAGAGAGATCCTCTATCTGCTGGTTCACTCCCCAAATGGCCACAGTGGCAGAGTCTGTGCCAGGCTGAAGCCGGAAGCCTGAGTTTTCCTCTGTTTCCCATGAGGTGCAGGGGCAAAATCATCCTGTGCCGTCTTTCCTGGGCACATTTGCAGGGACCTGGATTGGAAGTGGAGCAGCTGGGACTTAAACGGGAGCCTGTATGAGATGCTGGTGTTGCAGGCAGCAGTTTTACCCACCATGCCGCAACACTGCCATCTGCCCCCAATTTTAAAAAAAAGATTTATCTATTTCTTTGAAAGACTGAGTTGGAGAGAGAGAGAGATCTTCCATTTCATGGCTCGTTCCCTAGATGGCCACAACGGCCGGAGCCAGGAGCTTCATCCAGGTCTCCCATGTGGGTGCAGGGGCCCAAGTACTTGGACCATCTTCTGCTTTCCAGGCACATTAGCAGGGAACTAGTTTGGAAGTGGAGCAGCCAGGACTCAAACTGGCGCCCATAAAGGGATGCCAGTGTAGTAGGTGACAACTTAACCTGCTACACCACTGTGTTAGCCCCTTGCCGTGTGCTTTATTTATTTATTTATTTACTTACTTACTTACTTACTTATTTAAAAGGCAGAGTTACAGAGAGACAGAGAGAGGTCTTTCATTTGCTGGTTCACTCCTAAATGGCCACAATGGCTGGCGCTGAGCCGATCTGAAGCCAGGAGCCAGGAGCTTCTTCTGGGTCTTCCACACAGGTACAGGAGGCCAAGCACTTGGGCCATCTTCCACTGCTTTCCCAGGCATAGCAGGGCGCTGGATTGGAAGTGGAGCTGCCAGGACTAAAACCAGTGCCTATATAGAGTGCCGGTACTGCAGGCAGAGGCTTAGCCCACTGCACCATAGCACCGGCCCCCCTGCCATGTGCTGTTGGTTTTGTTATATTTCTGCTTGGAATGCACATGTATAAAAACATAAAATATAAACAGACATACAGATAAAAATGTAATTGTAGAGGAAAAATAACAAAAAATTGAGTGTTTTTTTGTTTTCTTAGCTGTAGAACAGATAATTCTGTGAGTTTGGGTAGGGTGTCTCCTTTGGTAATAATCACAGTGATTTACCAGCATTTACTATGCTTTAGGCCTTGTGACTGACACAGAGGGGCTATAGTGGTGAACTCCCCTTATGCCTATATAGTCATGCCATTCTCTTGCCCCCTTAGAAGCCTATGCTTGGGGAAAAAGGAGAATCAGTTTATTGTCTTGGAGAGTTTGCTCTGATTTTGAGACTTTGGGGAGATTTGAATCCAAATTCAAGAATGGGTTTACTGCCTTAAAATCATCTAGCTTATTTATCAAATTTTAGTTGCTCTTCTTTTTAGGATTAAGCTCTTGGGAGGATGCAAAAAATGGAGAAATCATTTCTGATGACCCTGCTCCAGTTAATATATGTGGGAAAGGGCGTTTAAAGTGAAAATCCATATAAATAAAAGGGAATATATTATTAGTACTAAGGAGAAGATAGACTGTTTCCTGAAACAGAAACCCATACTTAATGTAGTTTATACAAGGAGTGGTCAGATCATATATAAAGCTTCTACTTCAATTAGTATTTGTGAAAGTGCTTTGAAAAAAATGAAAAGCCACATCAGTACAAGGGAATGGTTTTATTATTGTTACTGCTGGGGAGGAGGTGTTGGCTGAGTATTATTTCTGAAATAACCACCTATTATGCTAATGCAAACTTTGAGCAGTTTGTATCATGGTAAGTTTTAATTTATTTTAAAAGTTAAAAGCAATTTTATTTAACGCTTTTTAATATCCTTATGATAAAGTATGGGTGGCACTTTGTACACAGTAGGAAGTGCTGAAAATTCAGTACACATTAAAAATTGAGTCCTTGTGGTTAGTCAGAATTCGTAGCTAACTACAGCCTGTCTCCAGTTGCTAGGGATCATCATATTAACCTCCACTCAGTAGTGTTCTTACTAATTAGCAAAAATTGCTCAGTGAAGCTCACAAAAGAAATTGCTCAAGAGTAGGATTTGAGTCCCTTAGCTCCCTGCTTATGCACCATTAATTATGCCTTTATTACTATTATTTATTTAGCATTCCTGTAATATTTTTAGCAAATTGCCTTAAATTGGCCATTCACTAATCTTTACACTATTTAATTAGCTTCATCAGGGAGTCTTTAGCAACTGATTTACTAATCATCAGGTTTCCCGATTCTCAAAGAATTATGTATCTATACAAGAACTAATAGTATGCCTCTGAATTCAGTTTAGCCATGTTGTCTTCATTGCTTGATTGATTTCTCTCCGTGTCTGGAATAAGATCTCCCCTCTCTTTATGGGAACTCTTGTAGAGCCATCTGTTTTCATTTTTCTTTCCTATTCAGTCTGTCCTATTAGGGTTATATCTCTGTATTAAGAATACTTTAGATTGGGCTGGCGCTGGGCATAGAGGGTGAAGCCACTGCCTACAGTACCAGTACCCCATGTAGGCACTGGTTCGAGTCCCGGCTGCTCCTCTTCCAATCCAGCTCTCTGCTATGGCCTGGGAAAGCAGTGGAGGATGCCCAAGTGGTTGGGACCCTGCACTCTTGTGGGAAACCTGGAAGAAGCTCCTGGCTCCTGGCTTCAGATCGGCTCAGCTCCGGCCATTGTGGCCACCTGAGGAGTGAGCCAGTGGATGGAAGACCTCTGTCTCTGCCTCTGCCTCTCTGTAACACTGCCTTTCAAATAAATAAATAATTTTTAAAGATTTATTTATTTATTTAAAAGTCAGAGTTAGACAAAGAGAGGAGAGGCAGGGAGGGAGGGGGAGAGAGAGAGAGAGATCTTTCATCTGCTGGTTCACTCCCCAGTTGGTCGCAATGACTGGAGCTATGGTATTCTAAAACGAGGAGTCAGGAGCTTCCCATGTGGGTGCAGGGGCCCAAGGACTTGGGACATCTTCTACTGCTTTCCCAGGCTATTGCAGAGAGCTGGATTGGAAGTGGAGCAGCCGGGACTTGAACTGGTACCCATATAGGATTCAGGCACTGCAGGTGGTGGCAGCTTTACCCACTACAGCACAGCGCCAGCCCCTGAAATATTTTTTTTTAAAAAAGAGAATATATCAATTCCTATACAAAATAGGCTCATATTTCTGGGAATTTGATTTATGTTGCATTAATAAACAATAACCAGGATAATTTTCCTGTTTCCTTTCATTCTTCTGTTCCTTAACCGTTCATACTTTTATTCAGTAAAACTTAAAAAAAACTTATTTACAAGGCAGAGAGAGAGAGAGAGAACGAATGAACGTGTTCACCATTGAGAACAAGTATACTAGCTCCTATCCACTGGTTCATCCCAACATGTCTGCAATGGCCGTGACTGGGCCAGCCTGGAGTGGAGAGCTGGGAACTCCGTCCAGCCACGTGGTGATGGGAACCCAACTATTTGAGCCTCATCTGCTGCCTCTCAGGGTCTGCACTGGTAGAAACCTGGTACTGGGAGCAGGAGGTAGGCACCCTAAGGAAAGACATGGGCATCCCAATTGGCGTCTTAACTCCTAGGCCAAATGCCCACCCCTGTTCAGGAAACTAGTGTTTAACATCTCCCTTGCCCCAAAGAAGTCACAGAAGCAGAGGCAGCTGTGCAAATAAAATGCAGTGTGGTAAGTAGTGTAATGGGGTTATGTTCAAGCTGCTTCTTTGGTAACCTAGAGGATTTTCCCCAAAGCTCAGTCATCAGCGTGCCTTTCTTTCCTTTTGTTATTCTTCATCACTATTCTATATTCAATTCAGACAGTCTTTCTACTTTTAAACTCAACTATTTAAGTTTCTATGCTGATAAGATCTATTTTCCCCTTTGGTCACTGACCTGTCTCCTGAACTCCACTGGAATGGCTTTATTAATTAGACTATTCCATTTGAGAGTTTCTCAGAAAAGTCATATTCAACTTGTCTAAAGTGGGATTCATTTTCTTGAGACTAGCTGGCTCTATAATGTCTCTGTTACTTCCAGTGGTATACGGTACTTCAGAAAGTTTGTGGAGGGCCTTTTGGTTAAGATGCTACATGGGATGCCCTCATCCCATACCTGAGTGCCCGAGTTCAAGTCCCGGCTCTGTTCCTGACTCCAGCTTCCTGCTAGTGTGCACACTGATAATAATGCATCGTCAGGTGAGGCACAGAAGCAGTGGGTTCTCTGACACCACGTGTCCGACCTGGATGGCGTTCTTGACTCCTGGTTTCAGCCTGACCTAGTCCTGGTTATTGCAGGCATTCGGGGAGTGAACCAGCAGATGGGAGCTTTCTCTGTGGGGAGCAACTCGGACTAGACTAAGTTACTGGAATTAAGACTTATTCTATGCATCTGCTCTCCCACAATATGGTGCTGAGAAGGGAGAAACAGCTTCTACACAGCTGCCTCCAGTTCAACCAATAAACTGTAGGACCTGCTCCTGATTGGAGGAGAGCAGCATACTCGGCGTGTGGGTAGCAGAGTTGGGATTGGTGGAAGAGGACTATAAAGGAGGAGAGAGACAACATGCACCAGGAACATCTAAGGGGAACATCTATCTGAAGGAACACCTGAGCAGCCCCCGAGAGAGCCGGCCGGCGGTGTGCCGCTCCCCCGCGGAAGTGGGGAAAGTGGCAGGGGGAACCGCCCTTCCACGGAGGTAGAAGGGACGGTAGCCAACCCGGGAAGAACCAGCAGCAAACCCGGGAAGGGCCGAGCAGACAAAAGAACAGCGCAGGGTTCCTCCGCGAAGAGGGGGAGCGACATAATGGTGCCGTGACTCGGATATGAAGCCTAGGCAGGGTTTAGTGTCGTTCCTCCACGAAGAGGGGGAGTGACATTCTCCCTGTATTTCTCTGTGTTTCGCTGCCTCTCAAATAAAAACAAATAAAAATTTTTAAGAATTCATGGAAAAGTAAACTAAAGATGTTTATTTTGGTGCAAAGAAATTTTGAAATTCATGCATAGTTTTTTTCATATATGCATTTTCTGTGAACATTATGAAATACTTTCGTGTTAGCATTCTTTCTTATAATTCCCAATTTTAACTGCTTAGTGGAAGAGGGTTTCTCCTTTTAGTTTTCTCCATTATGTAATCTTATTGAATTTCCTGGTTAATTTTGCCTTTATAATATAGAATTATTTATTAAATTAACTTAAACATGGTTTTATGTTTTTCCATTAATGATTCCCTCATACTAGAAAAAAGCACCTCAGACCAGATTTGAGACCTTCTGCCAATTAGAATAACGTCCTCTGCTTTGAAGACTGATATCTGTTAAGATAGATAAACTCGGGCACTCTGGTATGGGATGAGGCATCCCAAGTGGCATCTTAACCACAAGGCCCTCCACAAACTTTCTGAAGTACCAATACCACTGGGAGTTTAGAATTCCTTATAACTGCATATTAATATGTGAACTATTCTCCATTGTATATTTATCCACTTAGTGTAATTCCATTTATATATCCATTTATATATATATAATCCATTTGTGTAGAACTACTTCTGTCATAAATATCTCCTTAGTGAAATGTAATTATTTTGTTTGTCCCTTCTTCAGGTTTAAGGATTACTCCCAAAATGTCCTTACTCAAGTGAAGAATAAACGAAAATAATGAGTTGGAGAAACATTATAGGTCCCTTTATTTTGCTGTTTTTTTCTTATTTCTGCCACTCATTTTTTTAATGTTTAAAAATATCTTATGTTTGACATAATTTAAGTCTTTAGCAAAATACTCTGTGGTCAATCATTCTCTTTTACTTCTATTTATTTGAGGAGAGAGAGAGTGAGCCCCCATCCACTGTTTCACCCCCCAAATGTCTGCAACAGCTGGGAGGGGCCAGACTTGAAGGCCAGGAGCTGAGAACTTAATCCAGGTCTCCTATGTGAGTGATAGGAACTGAATTACTTAAACTGTCACTGCTGCCTCCCAGGGTCAGCATTCTATATGGAACATGAGGTTTTTTATTTGTTTGTTTGTTTGTTTTTAAGATTTATGTATTTATTTGAAAGGCAGAGCTAGAGAGGAGAGATCGAGATCTTCCATTCACTGGTTCACTGCCCAGATGGCCGCTGTGGCCAGAGCTCTATCTGAAACCAGGAGCTCACTGCAGGTCTCCCGCATTGGTGGTGGGGCCTAAGCATTTGGGTCACTTTCTGCTGCCTTCCCAGGCACGTCAGCAGGGCTGCTGGATTGGAAGTAAAGCAGTCGGGATGCTAACCGGTGCCCATATGGGATGCCACAGGAGGCAATTTCACCCTCTGTGCCACAAAGCTGGCTCCAAACATGAGGATCTTAACTGATTTCTTAACCACTAGGTTAAACATCTGTCTCAATGTTTACCAAAGAAAATTTAGCCTTTTTTTCCTTCAAAATGCTAGTCCTCGTAGGTGGGAAGCACTGCTTTGCTGCGGATGTGAGTTGTGTAGCTGTGTGGTTCTGAGAGACTTTCTGCCTTCTGCCTGTGCTTCACCTTCTGGATGTCAGGGAGGCTCCCGCCACCCCCAAGGTTAGTTTTGTTCTCTTTGTTAATTTGCTGGAAAAGGAAGTGAGGATTAGCGGTTTTCATGGATTGGAGAGTTGACAGGCCCAGGCCTGCTCAATATTGAGTGAGAAATGCACCAGTGAACTCTTGAATATATGACTTAATCAATTTTTTAAAAAATCTGATTATAATTTTATATAAGATCAGGAGCTCTAAAGCTCAGAACTTATCTAATATTTTTCCCCCAGGAGCTCATTTTGTAGACATGATCTCATTCATTCTTGAGAGTTAGCAGATGAAGTGTCAGCACCATTGCTGTTTCAGGTGGCAAGAAGCAGGCTTAACTTCAGCCTCATATACTAAGTGTAGAAGTGGGGGAGATTTTGTGGACTTATCGGTCACTGCTTACCTATTAAACCCTGTAAGACCACACTTAACTTCCCAAGCTTCTGATACATTCGAAACAGTCTTTTGCTGCTAAATTTGCCTAACACTTGGTAGGTTTTATACAAATTGAGGATCAAGAAAAGCTAAAAAAAAAGGGGGGGGTGTGCTATCTTCTTTTTTCTCCAGTATTTTTTTAGCTCTTTTCCCTGTTACATTTGTTGAAGTGCACTTCACTAGCGAGCTCATGTTCAAGATTTGGTGTGACAGCGAAGGGGATGGAAAAGGTAGACATTGTTTATACTCAGTTATGGCATATTCTTTTTCCTTTTGAAGTTGGATAGGCAAAAGAGGAATGAAGTAACAGTTCTCATTGTTAGAGATGGCTTGTACCCTGGCTGAGTGGTATGTAACTCCTAGTATTTAGCAGTCAGTGGAAACTAGCCTGCAGGAACCTGTGTTGACTTAAAATCCTTGAACTGTTGTTAATACCTTGTTGAGTAATCACCTGGGCACTTAACTGCTCCAGCTCTGGCCTTTTGGGTTATCACATACTTTTCATCTTCTAAGCTGGGAACACAGGAGGAGGAGTTGGCTGCCTAAAGTAATGAATTTGGCTGATACAGGAAGACAGAACACTGTGTTTTTCCTGAGTAGACTTTTTGTGTGTGTGCTGATTTTTTTTTCAAGGATTTATTTATTTATTTGAAAGGCAGAGTGACAAGGAGGGAGAGAGAATCTTGCATGCACTGGTTCACTCCCCAGATGGCCACAATAGCCAGTTTTGGGCTAGGCCAAAGCTGTGATCCAGTGACTCCATCCTGGTCTCCCGCATGAGGGGCAGGAGCCCAAGTCCTTGGGCCACCTTCTGTGCTGCCTTTCCAGGCACATTAGTGGGAGTCTAGATTGGAAGGAGAGCAGCTGGGACTTGGACTGACAGTCCAGTGTGGGATGCAAGCATTGCAAGTCATGGCTTAACCCCCTGTGCCACAATGCCAGCCTCTGTGCTGAATTTTCATGAATATTCCTTGAATCTGTTCTCTTTTCTCCATTTTTATCACTGTCTTGGTTCAGAATCTCATCATTCTTGCCTGCAGTATTTTCCTGATTGGAAGTTTACACCAGGTTTGGTAAGCAAGGTTGGTCACACACACTCGCCTGGACTGCACAGCTCCCTTTTTTAGTTGGCCTTAGCTTTGGTGAGTGCCCCTGACTTGGCTTGAGTGCATTGGCTTGAGCCTGCCAATGGGTACAGCTGGTCAGGCACACCTGTCTGAGCTATACAGTTCCCTTCTCCGGTCTGCTCTGGCTTTGGTGAATGCCCAGGACTCTGACTCCCCAGAAATCTGAGCCCACTCTGACTTTGCTGAGTACAAGTGGCAGTTTACACATGCTCTGAACTTGGCCTGGCACCGCCATAGCCCCTACCACCACCAGTGAGATCCACACACCCCTACTGGTACTGAGAGGAATCCCCCATGCCCCTATTGCCATTGCCATGATTAACAATGGCAGAAGGAGCCAGTGTTGTGACATAGTGGGTAAAACTGCTGCCTGGATTGCTGGCATCTCATGTGGGCACCCGTCTGTGTCCCTGCTGTTCCAGTTCTGATCCAGCCCCTTGCAATAGCCTGGGAAAGGCAGTGGAATATGTCCCAAGTGTTTGAGCCCCTGAGACACACATGGGAGACCCAGATGATGCTCCTGGCTTCAGCCTGGCCCAGCACTGGCAGCTGCACTGGGAATGAACCAGTGGATGGACAATCTCTCCCTCTCTGTAACGTTGACTTTCAAATAAATAAATTTTTAAAAAAAAGTTGCAGAAGACATAGAGAAGCTACACCCAACCCTTCAACTGCAACTAGAGCCATGAAAGCCACCTCTTAAAAGTGATAGACAACTGATCTGCCAGTTGTATAAATATCAACACAAGCAGCATGAAAGAGACAGTACGACATCTCAAACCCAATAACACTCTGACCACACAGAAAGAGAAATTGATGAAATGACTGTAAAGAAGTAAAAAGAACAATCCTGAGGATACTCAAAGATATATAAGAGAATATGTACAGTTAAGTGAAATTAGGAAAGCAATGCATGATATGAATGAGAAATTCAACAGTGATACGGAGATCTTGGAAAAGAACCAAACAAATCTTAGAAATTAAGAATCTAAGTCAAAAAGTACAAGCAAAAGAAAACATCTGAATTTCAAAGCTAGTCTTTTGAACTATGTCCCCCAAAAATGAAAGATAGAAGTAGAAAATGAATGAATGTAGCCTCCAAGATCTTTGGGACATTAGTGAATGAGCTAATACGTGAAAGATGGAAATTCCTGGGGAAGCAGAGGAGAACAGAGCATGGAAGCCTATTCAGTGAAGTAATAGCTGAATAATTTTCCAGTTTGGTGAACAATATGGACATTTATGTACAGGAGATCCATGGAACCCCTAATAGATAGGAACAGAAAAGATCCTCACCATGACGCATGATGGTCAAACTCTCAAAAATACAGCGCAAAGAGGGAATTCTAAAATCTGCAAGATAAAAATGCCAGATCACTTTTAAGGAGACCTTCATTAGAATAATAGGTTTTCCATTAAAAACCTTGGCGGGGGTCACCAGCTTCGTGGCACAACAGGTTAAAGCCCCAGCCTGCAGCACTAGCATCCCATATGGGTGCCGGTTCATGTCCCAGCTGCTCCACTTCCAATCCAGCTCTCTGCTGTGGCCTGGGAAAGCAGCAGAGGATGGCTCAACCCTTTTGGTCCCTTCTTCCATATGAGAGACCCGGAAGAAGCTCCCAGCTCCTAGCTTTAGATCAGCTCAGCTCTGGCCGTTGCAGCCATTGGGGAGTAAACTAGCAGATGGAAGACCTCTCTCTTTTGCTCTCGCTCTCTGTGCATCTCTACCTCTTTCTCTAACTCTTTCAAATAAATAAAACAAATCTTTAAATAAAAATGTATATGCACCTGGGGTCCGCATTGTGGTGTGCCAATGCTGGCATCTCATATGGCTCTGGCTTGAGTCTTGGCTGCTCCACTTCCAATACAGCTCCCTGCAAATGGCCTGGGAAAAGCAGCAGAAGATAGCCCAAGTGCTTGGGCCCCTGCCACCCACTTGGAGGACCCAGAAGAAGCTCCTGGCTTTGGCCTGGCCCAGTTCTGGCCATTGCAGCCATATGGAGAGTGAACCAGTGGATGGAAGATCTCTCTCTGTCTTTCTCTATAACTCTGACTTGCAAATAAATATTTTTTTTTAAAAAGTATATGCAGCTAATGCCAGAGCACCCAATTTTATAAAATAAACAGTACTATATCTTAAAGGAGAGATAAGCTTTAGTACAACAATCGGGAGTTCAACATCCCAACTGCATCAGTGGACAGATCATCCAGACCAAAAAAAAATAATAATAAATAAAAAATATTGGAGTTAAACCACACTATAGCACAAATGGAACTAAGACATTTATAGAACATTCCATTCAATAGCTACAACATACATATTCTTTTCTAGGATAGACTGTAAATTGGGCCACAAAACAAGTCTCAATACATTGTAAAACATGGAAAGAATATCATGTATCTTTTTTTGGCCCCAGTGGAACAAAACTAGAAATCAACAAAAGAATCTCTAGCATTCACACAAAAGGCAGGGGCTGTGGTGTAGTGGGTAAAGGTGCTACCTACAGTGCCGGCATCCCATATGGGTGCCGGTTCAAGTCCTAGCTGTTCCACTTCCAGTCTAGCTCTTGCTATGGCCTGGGAAAGCAGTGGAAGATGGCCCAAGTCCTTGGGCCCCTGCACCTGCTTGGAAAACCTGAAAGAAGCTCCTGGCTCCTGGCTTCGGATTGTCTCAGCTCCGGGCATTGCGGACATTTGGGGAGTGAACCAGCGGATGGAAGGCCTCTTTCTCTCTACTTCTGCCTCTCTGCAACTCTGCCTTTCAAGTAATAAATAAATACATATTTTTAAAAAATTACACAAATATGAACAGACTGAACAATATCCTCCCGAACGAACAATGGGTCATTGAAGAAATCAAAAGGGAAATTTAAAAATTACTGAAACAGGGACAAGTGTTTGGTCTTAGTAGTTAAAACACCAGTCTGCATCCCATGTTGGAATACCTGGCTTGGTTTTTTTTTGTTTTGTTTTGTTTTGTTTTGTTTTGTTTTGTTTTTAGGATTTATTTTATATATTTGACAGAGTACAGAGAGAGGTACACACGCACACACACACACACACAGAGGTCTTCTATCTGCTGATTCACTCCCCAGATGGCTGCAACGGCTGGAGCTGCACCAGTCCGAAGCCAGGAGCTTCTTCTGGGTCTCCCACATGGGTGCAGGGACCCAAACATTTGGGCAATCTTCCACTGCTTTCCCAGGCCGTAGCAGAGCGCTGGATGGGAAGTGGAGTAGCTGGCGCCCATAAGGGATGCCGGTACTGTAGGCAGCAGCTTTAACTGGCTGCATCGCAGCGCTGGCCCCTGAAGACCTGGTTTTAATTCCTAGCTCCAGCTCCTGAGTCTAGCTTTCTGCTAATGTGGTCCCTTCCCACACTGGTGATGGCGCAGGCAGTGGGATTCCTGCCACTCGTGTGGGAGACCTGGATTGAGTTCCTGACTCTCAGGTTTGGCTGTAGCCCAGGGATGTTGTAGGCATTTGGGGAGTGAACCAGTGCGTGGGAGCACCCTCTTCCTGTCTGTCCCTCTCTCAAATAATAAATAAACTTAAAACTTCCTTGAAGCAAACAAAAAGGTAAACAACATGCCTAAACTCATGGGATATAGCAAAGCAGTACTAGGAAGTTTGTAGCAATAAGCACCTATATAAAAAAACAGAGAGGTGGGCCTTTTGGCACAGCAGGTTAGCCTGCGCTTGGGAAACCCCCATTCCATATCACACTCCCTGTCCAAATCCCGACTTCTGATCCAGCTTGCTGCTGATGCCATCCTGGGAGGTAGCAGGTGATAACACAAGTACTTGGGTCCCCGCTACCCATGTGAAAAACCTGGATAGAGTTCCAGGTTCCTGGCTTTAGCCTGGTCAGATAATGTGGGAGACCAGGATGCAGATTCTGACTCCTGGCTTTGGCCTGGCCAGGACCTAGTTGTTGAGGCCATTTGGGAAGTGAACCAGCAGATGGAAGATTTTTTTTCTCTCTCTCTTGCTCTTCTGTCTTTAAAATATAGAAAATGAACCATAAAAAAAGATAAATGGTCAAAGATCTGAATGGATGTTTCTCAAAAGAAGAATACAAATGACCAACAAATACATGAAAAAATGCTCATTATCACTATCCATTAGGGAAATGCAAATTAAAACCACAGTGAAATATCTCACTCCAGTTCGAATGGCTATTATCAAAGACAGTAACAAATACTGGTGAAGATGTGGAGGAAAGGGAACCCTGAACACTGTTGGTGGGAATGAGCACAGCCCTTCTGGGGAACAGTATGGCAGTTCCTCAAAAAACTTAAAATAGATCTACCATATGGTATCCCACTTCTGGGTGTATGTTCGAAGGAAATGAAATCAGCATATGAAAGACGCCTGCTCCCCCATGTTCACTGCAGCACTGTGCACAGTAAAGATACGGAATTAACCTAGCTGTCTATTAATGGATAAGTGGATAAAGAGAGTGTGGTTTATGTACAGTGGGGTGTTATTCAGCCGTAAAAAATAAAATTCTGTTATTTTCAGCAAGATGAGTGGAACTATAGATCATTATGGTAAATGATATCAGATACAGAAAAATGAATACCACATGTTCTCTCTCATCTGTGGAAATTAAAAAAAAAAAACAGATCTGAACTTAGAAGAATGACTGTTGGATACTGGGAAGGGGAGGGGGCTTGAGAGAGTTTGGATAGGAGGTATGAAAAACAAGTGGGGCCAGTGCTCTGGCATAGCGGGTAAGGCCAACGCCTGCAGTGCTGGCATCCCATATGGGCACCAGTTTGAGCCCCAGCTGCTCCACTTCTGATCCAGCTCTCTGCTATGGCCTGGGAAAGCAGTAGAAGATGGCCCAAGTCCTTGGGCCCCTGGACCCATGTGGGAGACCTGGAAGAAGCTCCTGGCTCCTGGCTTCAGATTGGTGCAGCTCCGGCTGTTGTGGTCATCTGGGGAGTAAACCAGTGGATAGAGGATATCTCTCTCACTGCCTCTGCCTCTTTTTGACTCTGTCTTTCAAATAAGTAAAAATAATCTTAAAAAAGAGTAACAAGTATCCCACAGTAAAGTAGGGTGACTGTAGTACACAATAATGTGTTACTGTGTAAAGAGCTGGGAGAGAGGAGCTGATAGGCCTCAAACACAAAGATAAAGGAATGAAAGGCTGGTTGCCTGGTTTGATCAGTTTATGCTGTGTATATGTATTGGAAAACTGCATGGTACCTCATTAAAAATACAAGTATTATAAAAATTTAAATACTAAAATAAAATATTAATCTTCCAACTGGAAATTCTTACCTCTGAATTTGGCCCCATAAATCCATCTTCAAAGTTGCCAAACTCCAAAGTCCACACTTTTAGCTACCATCATATAATTATTATTTGTGAAATCATCTGTTTATGCATCTGTCTGCATTATTAGACCAGAAATTCCTTGAAGGAATTAGATTTATATTGAGATTGAAATAAATTTGCTTCAGTTTTGTTGAGGTAGAATTGACAAAAATTGTATGTTTAAGATGACAATTTGATATGCATTTTAAAATAATTTGTACATTCAAGCTAATTAGCCCCATATCATAACCCCCACACTGTGTGTGTGTGTGTATGTGTGTGAGAGAGAGAGAGAGAGAGAGAGAGAGAATACTTCAGATCTACTCAGTTAATTTTAGGTTTATGAAACGTTGTTATTAACGGTAGTCAGCATGCTGTACATTAGCTCTCTATAACTTATTCATCCTGAAGCTGCTAGCTCTAGGACAGCTTTGTGGCACAGTGGGTTAAGCCACCATCTTCAGCGCTAGCATCCCACATGGGCACCAGTTTGTGTTCGTCTGTTCCACTTCCCATCCTGCTCTCTGCTAATGTGCCTGAGAAAGCAATAGAAGATGGCCCAAGTTCTTGGGCCTCTACGCCAATGTGGAAGACCCAGATGAAGCTCCTGGCTCCAGCCTGGCATCTGTCTGTCTCTGTCTCAGTAACTCTGACTTTCAAATAAAATAATAAATCTTAAAAAAATGCTTTGACTGGCTTCTCACCATTTCCTCCCACTCCCTAGTCCCTGGAAACTATTCTTGTACTCTGTTTCTATGAGTTTAGTTTTTGGTTTTTTAGATTCTATGTATAACTGAGATTATGCAGTATTTGTATTTCTGTGTCTGGATTACTTCACTTAGCATAATGTCCTCCAGGTTCACCCATGTCACAAATTACAAAATGACAGGATTTCCTTGTATTTAAAGACTAAATAGGATTCCACTGTATATATACGTGTTTAACACTATTTCTTTACCCATTTATCTATGAATAGTTGCTTTTTCCATATCTTGATGATTGTGAATAATGCTGCAGCACATGGAAGTGCAGATATCTCTTTAAGATAGTTATTTTATTTCCTTTTGAATATATACCTAGAAGGAGAATTGTTGTATCATATAGTAGTTCCATTTTTAAAGATTATATTTATTTGAGAGGTAAAGTTACAGACAGTGAGAGGGAGAGACAGAGAGAAAGGTCTTCCTTCCACTGGTTCACTCCCCTAATGGCATCAATGGTTGGAGCTGCGCTGAAGCCAGGAGCCAGGAGCTTCTTCCTGGTCTCCCACGTGGGTGTAGGGTCCCAAGCACTTGGGCCATCTTCTACTGCTTTCCCAGGCCCTAGCAGGGAGCTGGATCTGAAGTGGAGCAGCTGGGACTAGAACCGGTGCCCATATGGGATGCTGGCGCTGCAGGTGGAGGGTTAACCTGTGCCACAGCACCGGCCCCAGTAGTTCCATTTTTAATTCTTTGAGGCACTTCCTTATTATTTTCCATACCTATAGCAGCAGTATATAAGATTTCTGTTTTCTCCGCATCCTTATCAACACTTACCTTGGATTTCTTGGTAACAGCCGTCCTAGCAGATGTGATACCTCATTGTAGTTTTGATGTGCATTCCTGGTGATTAGTGATCTTGAGCATCTTTGCATATACCTGTTAGCCATTTGTATGTCTATAAAACTGTTTATTCAGATCCTTTCCCGTTTTCAAAATTGAGCTAATGGGGCTGGCACTGTGGCTTAGTGAGTAAAGCCGACGCCTGCAGTGCTGGCATCCCACATGGGTGCTGGTCCGAGACTCGGCTGCTCCACTTCTGATCCAGCTATCTGCTGTGGCCTGGAAAAGCACAGAAGATGGCCCAGGTCATTGGGCCCCTGCAGCCGCATGAGAGACCCGGAAGAAGCTCCTGGCTCCTGGCTTTGGATCAGTGCAGCTCCAGCCATTATGGCCATCTGGGGAGTGAACCAGTGGATGGAAGACCTCTCTCTCTCTTCCTCTCCTTCTCTCTCTGTGTAACTCTGGCTTTCAATAAATAAATAAATAATTTTAAAAAATAAATAAAATTGAGCTATTTGTATTTTTTGCTATGGTATAATGTGAGTTCCTAATATATTTATCAGATACATAGTTTTTACATGTTTCCTCCCACTCCTTGGTTATCTTTTCATTTTGCTGGTTCCCTTTGCTATGAAGAAACTTAGGTGTAGGTAGTACCGCTTTTTTTTTAAAAAAGATTTATTTTATTTATTTGAAAGCAGAGTTACAAGGAGAGGTAGAGACAGAGAGGAGGTCTTCCATCCGCTGGCTTACTCCCCAATGGCCGCAACGTCCAGAGCTGCGCCGATCCGGAGCCAGGAGCTTTTTCCAGGTCTCCCACGTGGGTGTAGGGGCCCAAGCACTTGGGCCATCTTCTGCTGCTTTCCCAGGCCACAGCAGAGAGATGGATTGGAAGAGGAGCAGCAGGGACTAGAACCAGCACCCATATGGGATGCTGGCACTTCAGGCCAAGGCATTAACCCGCTGCACCACAGCACCGGCCCCAGTACTGCCTGTTTATTTTAGCTTTTGTTGCCTGTTTTCTTTAAAAAAAATATTTATTTATTTATCTATTTGAAAGGCAGAATTACAGAGAGGCAGAGAGAGAGGAAGAGTGAGCCTTCTTCCATCGGCTGGTTCATTCCCCAGATGGCCCCAATGGCCAGAGCCGTGCCAGTCTGAAGTCAGGAGCCAGGAACTTCTTCTAGGTCTCCCAAGATGGGTGTGGTAGACCAAGGACTTGGGCCATCCTCCACTGCTTTTCCCAGACCATAGCAGAGAATTGGATCAGAATGGAGCAGCCGGGACTAGAACTGGCGCTCATATGGGATGCCGGCTCTGCAGGTGGTGGCTTTACCTGCTACGCCACAGCACCAGCCCTGCCTGTTATTTTTTAAGTTTTTATTTACTTTAATTTATTTGAGAGGGAGAGAAACCAAAAAAGATAGAAATAGACTGAGATCTTTTATCCAGTGGTTCACTCCTCAAATGCTGGCAATAGCCAGGGCAGGGCCTGACAAAGGCAGAAGCCTGGAATTCAGTCCATATCTCCTGTGTGGGTGGCAGGGACCCAAATATTTGAACTATCACCTGCTACCTCCTAGGATATGCATCAACAAAATGCTGGAATTGTGGCCGGCGCCGCGGCTCACTAGGCTAATCCTCCGCCTACCGGCGCTGGCACACCGGGTTCTAGTCCCGGTCGGGGCGCCGGATTCTGTCCCGGTTGCCCCTCTTCCAGGCCAGCTCTCTGCTGTGGCCAGGGAGTGCAGTGGAGGATGGCCCAGGTGCTTGGGCCCTGCACCCCATGGGAGACCAGGAAAAGCACCTGGCACCTGGCTCCTGCCATCGGATCAGCGCGGTGCGCCGGTCGCAGCGCGCCGGCCGCGGCGGCCATTGGAGGGTGAACCAATGGCAAAAGGAAGACCTTTCTCTCTGTCTCTCTCTCTCACTGTCCACTCTGCCTGTCAAAAAAAAAAAAAAAATACATTCTGAATACAAATCCTTTATAATATATGTAATTTGAAAATATTTTCACCGTTGAAAGGATGAAAGGTCAAGCCAAAGACTGGGAGAAGATCCCACCAACCTTTTTTTGTAAACATTTAAGAAGTAGATTTTCTCCCAGTCTTTGGATTATCCTTTCATTTTTTAACAGTGACTTAAAATTTTTTATTTATTTGAAAGGCATTGTGACAGAGAGGGAGAGACAGATGGGGGAGGGAGATGTTAAGCCAGCTTTGCATCTCTGGGAGAAATCCACTTGACCATGATTACTTATCCTTTTTATATATCGTTGAATTTGATTTGCCATAATTTTATTAAAGGGTTCTTCATTTATGCCACAAAGGATATCTGTAGTTTTTTTTGTAATGTCTTGTTTTGGTAGCAATAATGTCTTATATAATGAGTTGGGGCATATTATTTTATTTTTCAGCTGTTAGAAGAGTTTATATGGTATTTCTTTTCTTAGTAGAATTTGTCATGGAAGCAATCTAGGCCTAATTTTCCTTTGTGGGAAATGTTATGATTACAACTTCAATTTCTTTTATAATTGTAGAGCTATTCAAATTACCTCTTTTTTGTAAGACTAGGTCATTTTTTATCTTTTAAGGAATTTGTCCATTTTATCTAAGTTATTGAGTTTATTGCCATAAAATAGTTCATAATATTCTACTATTCGTAGAATTTCTAGCAATATCATTGATCTTACACCTGGTATTGGATTATAATTTACATCTTTTTTTGCTTTGGATAGTCTGGCTAGAAAGAGATCTTTCTCATTATTTTTTTGAATGTTTATCTTTCATCTACTTGAAAATCAAAGCAACAGGGAGGAGGAGAGAGAGAATTGATCTTCCATCTACTGGTTCATCCCCAATGCCTGCAATGGCTAGGGCTAGGCCAGGCTGAAGCCAGGAGCCAGTAACTCCGTCTGATCTCCCATGTGGGTG